CCGGCTGTGCCGACCGAAGTGCCCCGATCTGCACGTCACCAACACGGCCTCGCTGACTGTCTTTCTCAGGCCACCCTCCCTGTTCTTCCTCTTGCCAGTCCACCGTGCATCAAACCCAGGGCTCGAGCTTGGCTCTGGGCTTGTTTCCCAGGAAACCAGCTCCCCTTGGGAGCTCACCCAATGACCCCGTTTCCATTACCGCCTGGTGAGAGGGGATCCTCACCCCCCGCTCTCGTCCCAGGTGCTGTCCCCGACCCACTGCAGGGCTGACCTATGATTCTGTGGGCTCCAGACACGTTGCCTTCCTGCTTCCCTTCCTCCACACGGCCACGTGGTTTACAACTGCATTGCTACAAAGATGAATATATCAGCATATATTAGAACATTTTCTTTGACTTTTTTTCCTTCCAGTCATAAAAGAAATTAAAGCATTTTGATGAGCCTCTGAAGGTGCTATAAGGCCCAGGCACTGTGCCTGTTCCATCTGAAGGATAAGGAGGCCTGGCCTACATGATCGTCCATAGTCTGGGACGGTGAAGTAGCCACGCAAAAGGGTTGCAGGGAACACGCCTGAGAGCTCTCATAGTTCCTGTTTCCACCACCCAGAGTGGAAATCCTCACCATCCACCCGGAATGGGGTAGAGTGCTCCTAAGGGGCTTAGGTGTTAGTCCTAGATCAGATGCTGCTCGGGTCCTATTTCAGAAAGCTTAAAAGCAAGGTCTGAAAGGATCGAAAGGTTTTCAAGTAACTTAACTGTGTCCCAGAATAAAGCTCAGGAGTACTTACAGAAATACAAAAGTATCTAGCACCCCAAAAGGTAAAATTCACAACGCGAGGTAAAATTCACAACGTCTCTGGCGTCCAATCAAAATATACCAGGCATACAAAGAACTGATAAAATAAGACACATAATGAGAATAATCAATCAATCAAAGAGACCCAGAAATGACACAGACGAGAGAATTAATAGAGGAGGACATTTTAACAGTTATTATGAATGCATTAAATGTGTTCGAGAAGCTGGAGGAAAGATGGAGCATGTTAGCAGAGATACAGACGACCCATTAAAGCCTCCAATCGAACATCGAGAAATGAAAACCACCATGTCTGAGATGGAAAATACACTGGGTGGGATGAAATTACTGAAAGAAAAAGGTGTCAGTGTAGAACTTAATAGCCAGCAGAAGTATGCTTCGTAAATGAAAGTGGGATGAAGACTTTCTCAGAAACACAAAAGCTGAAAGAATTCATTGTTAGCAAAACTGCACTATAAGAAATGTTAAAGGAAGCCCTCCAAGTAGAAGGAAGATGATTCCAGATGGAAATATGAATTAACCAAAGGCATAAAGAACACTGGAAATATTAATTGTGTGGGTAAATATAAAAAACCTTTTTCTTATTACTTAAATATCTTTATAAAAGATTTATTATTTACTATTTAATATCTTTATAAAATAATTTTGCCTATTCAAAGCAAAAATAATAACAGTGTTTTATGGAGCCTGTAACATGTGTGGAATAATCTACATGATAAAAATAGCATGGTGACATGACCAGGAGGAGAGAAATGGAAGTGTGCTATTTTAAGGTACTTATGGTATACAGTAAGTGATGCAATGTCAATTGAAGTAGATGGTGATAAGTTAAAGATGTATATACTACAAACCCTAAAGCAAGCACTAAAATAACACAATAAAGAGGTATAGCTAACAAGCCAACAAAGGAGATATAATAGAATCATTAAAAATATTCCTTATCCTAAAAGACAGGAGAAAACCTCAAAAAGGGAAACAAGGAACAGGTAGGAGAAGAAGAAAAGAAAACCAGATACATGAAAAATTTAAACCTAACCATATGAATCATCCCATCACATGTGAACAGTCTAAACACCTCCATCAAAATCAGAGACTGTCCAATTGGCTAAAAAGATACAACTCCACTATATGCTGCATACAACTCACTTTAAGTATCAAGGTGCACGTTGATTAAAAGTAAAAATACAGAAGATTACATATCCTGTGACCACTAATCTACAAAACCTGGAGTGACTGGATCAATGCAGGACAGAGTGGATGTCAGAACAAAGATCATGACTACGGATAAAGACGGTCATTTCTGATGATGAAAGGGTCAGCGTATCAAGAGGATGTGAAAATCTTAAATGTTTATGCACCTAGTGACAGAACTTCCAAACACGTGAAGCAGAAACTAATAAAATTACTCAGATAAATAGACAAATCCACAAGTACAGTTGGAGATGTCAACGCCCCTCTCTCAATAATTGATAAAACAAGTAGGTAGAGCATCAGGAAGGATACAGAAGACTTGAACAACACAACCAACCAACCCGACTTGATTGACATTTATAGCACATTTCACCCAACTGCAGCTTAATATACATTGTTCTCAAGTCCACGCGAACCATTTACCGCAATAGATCAGATTCTGGCTCATACAAGAAGTCTTCATAAATTCAAAAGCATTCAAGACATACGAGGTTTTTTTTGACAACAGTGGAATTAAATTAGAAATTGACAACAGATTTCGAATCCATCCAGTTCGTGTGTGATGGTTTCACGTGAACGTGCCAGACTATCCATAATACCTTTTTTTAAAGGTACCTTTTCTCTAACTTTAGAGCAATGTAGGGGACATTCATGCCGAATGATGAAAGAGGACTATTAAGTACCTTATTTGAAACTAGAGTAGGGTTTTAACTTCTGAACTCTTGGTGATTTTCACTGTTTACACTACCTGATTTGAAGAATTATATAGTAATCTATTGTAATCAAGGCAGTGTAGCATTGGCATAAATGTAGATGCACTGAACAATAAAACAGCATAGTCCAGAAATAGACCTGTACATATATGGACAGCTGATTTTCAACAAATGTACAAAATCGATTCAGTTGAGAAATGATGGCTGTCTTAGTCCGTTCGGGTTGCTGTAATGAAATACCATAAACTGGGTGGCTTATAAAAAACAGAAGTTTATTTCTCACAGTTCTGGAGGCGGGGAGTTCAAGATCAAGTCCCTGGCAGATTCCGTGTCCGGTGAGGGCCTGCTTTCGAGGTTCATAGATGATGACTTCTCACTGTGTCCTCATAGTGTGGAAGAGGCCAAAGAGCTCCCTGGGGCCTAATCTATAAGGACACTAATCTCATTGATGAGGGCTCCACCCTCGTGATGTAATAGCCTCCCCACAGTCCTGACCTCCTCATACCATCACCTTGGGGGTTAGGATGTCAACATATCCCTCCTTCACGGGCCTGCCTCCAGAGTCACTTTGCAAATTCCTCTGCTACTGTTTTACCAGATCTCTGGGTGTTGGATGCCCCTGAGTTCAACGCTTAGGCCCCTTCTCTCTCCCTCCATTCCCTTCCTCAACGACCTCAACTGGGTCCAGGGCCTCAAATGCCATCCACATGCTGGTGATTCTGAAATCTCTTTCTCGGATTCCTTCCACACGCCAGCCCCGGGCAGCCAATGGCCTCACTCCACATCTCCAGTGGGATGTCCCAGAAGCATGTCAAATTAGTTGTAGCCAAAACTGTGCGATCCATTCACTTACTCCCACTGCAAGTAAATAACATCCCCTCACATCAAGATGCTCAGGTTAAAAACAAATGAGGGAGAAAGTGTTTCAAATGCCCCAATGGCTGCCCAATTAAATAAACTAAAAATCCCATTACAACATCCCTAGAAGGTTCCCTGGGACCTGGTTCTGCCCACCTCGCTGGGACCTCTCCACGCTGCCTTCTCCAAGTGCACCATGCCAGCCCCATGGACTTTCTGTCTCTCTGCAAATCCCTCCCTGGCTTGGGCCTTTCGTACTTCCTGGTCCTTCTGTTTGGAAAGCTTTGCCTTCGAGCAACCGAAGCCTGCAAAGTGGGATGCCGGCAGTCGTTACACCTGCCCGCCTGTGTGTTCCCAGCATGCCGCCTTCTGCAGGTCCTGGTGTTCTGACTGTCTGGTTCTCAAGTTCCACCAATTCAGCAACCTCAGCCTCTGGGACCAGCACAGCTAAGCAGCTCCACGGGCAACACCACGGCCCCAGACGCAGCTCGTCATCTCGTGCTGTTCACCATCCTCGTACTACGCGTCGGGACCCAAAATCAGCTTGTCTAGTCATTTGTTCACACGTTAATTGCTACGTCCCCAACGCCTCGTCTTGACTACAGAGGTTCTTAGGGGCCGGGACTGAAGGTGTCTGCTCTAACTAGAACAGTCCCTGACGAGAGGGATGCAACAGGCTCCTGAAAACCAACTTTTATTACCAAAGTTGCAAGGAGTTAGATGTGTGCGCCTTTGCCAGAAATTTCTATCATCACATTTCCCATCTGGGGGTGAATGACGATGAGGCTTTTTCCCTCCCAAGCTCTTTTCGAACTCTTAAGTCCATCTGACAGCACTTAGGAATATCCTCCGTAAATGAGGAGAAGACAGACGAGAGGCCAGGCGGTTTGTATTCAAGGGCTGCAGGTTTTTATTAGAGCAAGCATCTCCCATGGCTATAAGCGAAGCATTAGAATTCATCGAGCTGACTCAACTCTTTCCTCTGCACGAAGGGGGCTGAAGAGGGACAGGAAGCCCTGTACACGTGTCTGGGTCCCACAGAGCAAAGCGTCTCAGTGAATGAGCCACGGAGGCTATAAATGTTTGCAGATCGTAAGGCACTGGGGGGCAGGAGGGCACGGAGGGTCTCCGAGGTCCCCTCATCCTGCCCAGCAATCTCGCGGCTCAGCCCCTGGCTTCAGGGCGGGCACCCAGACCAAGAGGGGAGAACACAGCGTGTCTGCTATCTTCACTCAGACCCCGAATGATCCAGAAAACTTCCCAACTCCAACCCCACCATAACTTATCAGAAGATCAATTACATTTTATCAACTTGCCATAGCACCTCCCGTAAATTATACCTCAATAACCCAGATTTCTATAAATGCCTTTTGCTATTTGTGCATTTCTAAAAAGCTACTGATACAAATTGCAAAACCATCACCCAATTTGTTAAAAGCATTTTTGCAGGAACCCCCAGGGCCCAGCATGTGGGGAGAAATTATTTTTTAATACCCAGCGGACAGGACACGCCGGTGCCGCCGAGGCCGCAGTAGCCGTCGGGGTTCTTGCTCAGGTACTGCTGGTGGTAGTCCTCCGCGTAGTAGAAAGTCTGTCCCTCCTGGATGTCGGTGGTGATGGGGCCGAAGCCGTGATCCGAGAGGACCTGTGTGGGGAGAGAGGCACTGTTAGGCCTGGGCTGGACAGAGGACACCAGGGGGCAGGGGCTGGGAGGTGGCACTGAGGGCAGCCGGCTGTGGCTTGGGAGGCGCATGGGTCCTTCCGGGTGGCTCTGCCCATTCCCAGTGGGGTGAATCTGGGCGGGCACTTACCTGGCTGTGCCTCAGGTGATTGGGAACTGACATCAGGCTTAGATCAGCATTTTTTACTCTACAATTTATGCTCCACCCACCACTGAGGTGCTGCTCTGGTTTGGACCCCATGGGTGTGTTTGAAATGGGCCCCAAAGCTCTCCCAGGGGAAAGATCGGGTGAGTGTGGCTCCCTGGTGTCCCCAAGGAGGACTGACAGGGCTGCAGCACCACCCGGCACCGCCCGTCTGCCCACCGGCTCAGGAACAGGCCCGGCCTCCTTAGGAGGACAGAGGGTCCCCCCATGTACGTGGCTCCAGGAGCAGGGACCCTGCAGGGTAGCCCGGCCAGCAGGGGTCATCTGGGGTCTGCACTCTGAACTCCAGGCCAGGGCGCCTGGGGAGTCCGGGCCAGGGAGGACGTGGCCTGAGGGCCTGTGTCAGCCCGTCACCAGCCTCTGCGTCCTAGTTTACAGCCTGGTGGCATCTACTGCCAGGGCAAGGCAGGTGTAAACACGAATCGGGGAGGAGAGCGGAGCTATTTGGGGCAGGAGACGGATCAGGAACTAGACATGGCTCCCCAGGGACTTCAGCTGCTTCTCCTCCCTCCCGGACTCCGGCTCTGCCCTGATTCCTCTCGCCGCAGGCTGCCCGGAGCATTGAGCGCGAGGCCACAGGGACTCAATCCCGGTTTCGCCGGCTCCATGTGGGACGGAGCTGCAAACCAGGGCGGGAACTGGCTGGACTCTGACCGTCCTCTGGTCCATTTTAGACGAAGTCCCCAAACGTGCCAAGCAGCGTGAGTGCCAGGTTAGCATTCAGCACGGTTCCCGGCTTCAGGTTTTTCCTGAGAAATGTCGCCTATTTCCTGAATCTCTGCTCAACCCTCTGAGCCCCCACGAGGCCGACCCAGGGTCCCACAGCCCAGCCGGTCTGAAATGAGAAGGACGGCGCCCTCGTCGAGGCGGGCGGATGGGACCCCAGAGCTCAGCAGCAGCCGGCTTCCTCGCAGGGGTTAGAAATGCGGACGAGAAGCCATTCTGACATCACCGTTGACAATTTATCGTGACCTCGCAGTCATCAAGGGTCCACCGCAGGCCGCGCTCTGTGCGGAGACGTCACACCTGTTACTTTTAGCCTCACCACGGCCGCGGGCAGGAAGTGCTGTCATTGCTGCCTCATGTGACTGTGTCAGATACTGTTCCCTGGTCCCCGGCACGCTCGGCTCGCCGGCGCCGTGCAGGTGGGAGGCGCGGAGACTACATTTCCCAGGTCCCATCGCCACAAGGCCCCACGGTAGAGTCCACCAAAGACAGAAACCCACGTGCAGTTTGCCAGGCTGCGTAAAAGGAGAAGCTGTTTTCTGCAGGGCGCAGCTGTGAGGACGGGCGCGGGTCCCTGCCGGGGGCCATCCCGGCCGTGCTCCTGAGAGCCAGCCACTCCCGTGCTGTAGGCCGGGAAAGTCCTCGGCAATGATTTCTGGCAATTTCTGTAACTTCTTGATATCCTGAAATCTCAGGGTGCTCGTCCCTGCCCTTCACCCCAACAGCCCTGCTAACGCATCTGTGAACACCAAACTCCCTTCGTCAAACCCACCCTGCTGCAGACACGGCGAACGCTTTCTGTGTCTGCGACTGAGCCCTGGCTGGCACAGGACTTGGTTCCAGATTGGTTTTCAGGAAACAGAGCAAGAGTGTGGGGCTGAGGAACCGGCGGGGTTAGATGCGCAGCCGGCAGCGACCTCCCTGGGCGGGCAGGACGGGCCAGTGCCCGCGGACAGCAGGGCAATGCGGTACTCAGACAACCGCTGGCGTGTGCCCGTGAAGACGCGCCCCCCGAAGGCAGGCTTTGGATACCAGGCGGCTGTGAGGACGGAATATTCCGGTGAAGACGGTGAGTCTGCGGGGTGTGCTCGCTGCTCGGGCGCCACTCGAGAGCTTGCAGAAAAGAAAACGCTAAGTCGGGACCTGACGTTCCTGGCCCAGAGCTCGCTGGGAGAACCGGAGAACTACGGCTGATTTAAAATGACCTCTCGTCGTTTGCAGCGGTACCCAGATACCAAATAAAAAGCTCCCTCCCAAGGGCCCAGAGTTAGAATGCGAGTCACACCCTCACTTAGTCGAAAGCCCAGAATAAGGCACACGTTTGGTCACCTACTGAGGGCTCCCTCCCACTGTCCACACCGCCTACCGAGAGACGTCACCTCCATGTCCCTACGCTGTCACCTGCCGACACCTGCCTTCTGCCCGGGAGTTCACAACTGCTGTCTCCAGGAGCCTCTCTAAGCCAGGCGCAGTGGGAAGAAGGTCCTCCCCTCACAGCCGCCCACCTGGCCCGAGGACCACCCCAGGGGCTGCACCTGGGGAGCCTGGACGGCAGGTCAGACGGCGGGGCCCAGGCAGTACCAGCCTCTGCCACAAGATGGCAGACACTCCACTAAGAAAAACCTCAAAGGCACCCCACCGGAGACAGCGCCGCAAGCTGGCCTCCTGCACTGCCATTAGGCCTCTGGACAGGTCCGGCTGGGTGGCAGACAACAGCCACAGCCACCGGGGCTGCAGTTAGCGTGGCGCCCTCCTGCAGCCTCGGCTGCGGCTGTCCTCTCCACCCGCCCCAAAAGGTGGGGACAGGAGGACAAAAAAGCATGAAAGAAACTGAGTGTGAATGAAGGGAGACAGGAAAAGGAAAGGTCGCATGAGTCTCCTGCCTCCCCTCTGCGTCCTCCTGCCAGTCACTCTCCTCGCTCCGGTGGTCACCTCCCTCAGCCACCTTTCCTTCTCGTCTTCACTGCTACGTAATCCCAAACCTCCCCTGGGCGGGCCTCTCTGTGCACTTGGCACAGCTACGGGGTTAAATCCCGTGTGACCCCTCGCCCCTGGCCTGCAGGCACAGTGGAGCTCAAACGTCCTTAGACGGACTGACCATAGGCACTTTTTACGTTTTAGAGAACGTATCGCTATAAAGAAGAAACCTGAGTGTGTGGCAGTGGTTCTTAATGTCTCGGGGCGGTCAGGGGTTCCCTTGAGAATCCAGTGGACAAGCACTGTGGACACTCTGCCCGCACAAACCCACAACCAAATATCTGCCTAGAATGTCAAGGATTCTAGGACCCTCTGGAGTCCGCTCACAGCCCTGGATTCAGCACCGTTAGGGTCGCCGAGTTCAAAGTCACCACTCGCAGGGCTCTGGGAACGTGCGGGCACCTCCAGCCAGCAGTGAACATGTTTGGGACAGATGACCCTGATTCTGGTCACAGTCTGAAGGCCCCTGTCGCAAGGAGCAGTGGCCGTGCTTGCTGAAGGGAAAGTCGCAGGAAGGGAAGAGGCCGCCTGCAGCTCGGACCTCACCAGACTCCGGTTTCCGAAAGCGGATTAAGTCTGATCCGGGCAAACCCCATCTCCTTCGCCCACCAAAAGAATTTAGCCTTATCTTCATGTTGGGCTTCTACGTAATTATTTGTAAAATATATTATATAATCTGCATTTCTTTTTATTTGATAACTTTGTGAAATATTTTAGTGGCATGAAATTAGTTTCCCAGAACAGAAATCCAATTTATGAGTCTGAACCTGTAAGAAACTGGGGTTTGTCGTGGAAGAAGACCTGAAGCTGCTGTCTGGGAGCCAACAGGGCCGTTTTAGGGGAAGAGTCCCCTGGGCTGGACACGGGATGGGGATTCTGTTCCTCACGCTGCCCTCTAGTGGCAGCAGGGGGCTGGTACAGGCGCATCACTCTCGGGTTCCCACCTGCCTCTTTGGAACTGAGAGGCCACGCCAGTTCCTCCCAGCTCCAGTTCCATCGAATCCCCCTCCCCACACACAGCCAACACCCCAGTCAGCAGTTTCCGTCCACAGCAGCTTCTGGCTGACCAGACCGCCATCAATCAAAACTTCTGGGAAAGCGTATAAAATGACTGGCATGGATATTAAATAAAACCACTAGAAAGAAAACCACCACCTATTCCGAGCTGGGCAGAGGCTCATGCGTTTCTGGTTCAGGACGGCACAGAGCCCAAGTGCCAACCCCTGCCCACGGGAGGGGGCCAAGTGCTTGCCTTCAACCCCAGCGAGGACCCTGGGCCAGCAGGGGCTCCAGGCTCGGGGACGGTGGCACTGCCCACGAGTCCGTCACTGCTGGCACACACAGTGGGACAAATGAGAGCAGCACAAGTGCCCTCCAGCCACAGCACGCGAGGACACAGAGAATGCACAAAGGGGCAGGGGCCCGTACCAGGCCCCGTCGGGGCGCACCGACCTGTCCCAGCTTTGCAAACTCCCCGGGCGGGAAAGCAGGGAGAGCGGCGACACAGATCTCATTTGGTCCATTAAAAGACCAGCTTATGCGAACGATGGCCTCTGGACGAGCGACGTGGCATTCTCGTGCGTCCTTCCCAGACCGCAGTTCTGTCAAAGTTAACAGCTTTCATGATCGATTTCCCCGTCCCCGCGCACCCTCGCGGTACACCACGGCATCTTCTGACCGCCAGGGATATTTCTCCTGGCCTGCAGTGGCGAACAACAGAGCTGCAAGCTGAGCTGTGTCTCTGCAGAGAAGGGGAGGAAGGAAAGAGTTCAGTCTGTTCACTCGACCGCTGCGGCGCGAGGCTCTGCCCTGGCTCTTAGAGCTCGTCAGCGACCCAAAGCCTGCGCCCGCCCCGCACCTGCTGAATCCCACGTGCATGTTGCAAGGTGGGACGTGCTGCTCTCGCAGGCAGGTGTGGCCAGTGGTCTCCAAATGCCTCGCCCTGCCTGAAGGCAAGCTGCCCTCGTGACTTGCCTTGATCATGTGACTTGCGTTGACCACGTGACTTGCCTTGATCATGTGCCTTGCCTTGACCACGTGACTTGCTTTGACCAAT